GCAACCCATCGATCATCTGATTCCCAGACATGAACTTCAGCCTTTCAGTCTATTCCTCCAAGCTTCCCTGTGCCTTTTAAAGCTACTGTTTCCTTTTTCCAAAATTGGGATTAGACTCAAAATATCTGTGGCCTGCAGTTAAGAAGTTGTATAAAGAAGCAGAAATCATTGTAATACAAAAATACTCACTGATGAAGTGATTGACTCATTGCTATTCAACATCCTTTCTTTCTTCAAGCTTGAACTTATTTCCACCAATTCAGCTACTGTCGCTATCTCTGTGCTGTGGGATATTATAATGCAGATGGGGGAAGTTACTTCTTAAGATCAGTGAAGGATGCTGCAGATCACTGACAAGTCTGTCTGTGTTGGACCAGTTGAAAAACTGATGAAGAAAAGAATCAATAAAGATAATGAAAGGCTAGGCATTCAGAGAAGAGTGATTGAATATAATGTAATATTTAAAGCTGAATATTAAGATTGCCTTTTAGGAACATTGATGTAGCTCCCATTAAGTGCTGACACCATGATGGTGCCATGCAAGTCAAGATGAAACAAAGGAGGTGATGTGCTATTATGTATCATTGTGATAGAAGAATTGCATTCTCTTTCAGCAAGCAAAAATCCCACTGCTTTTATTCATTCTTTGATTTAGTCACTCATTCTATGATCTGTGATAACAAGGAACACCTGTGTTTAAGTTTTTCATAATTCTCTAGACTTTTATATTTGCTACAAGAAATAACCAGATAACCACATTTTCCTACCGAGTAAGCATTTGCCTTAGAAAAGCTAATTATAATTTTATCTGAAATTAAGTACATGCTTTAAAAGACCTATAAGCAGGCCAGGCGCAGTGGCTTATGCCTATAATCCCAGCACTAACTTTAGGAGGTTGAGGCGGGTGGATCACTTGAGGCCAGGAGTTCGAGACCAGCCTGGCTAAGGTGGTGAAACCTCGTCTCTATTAAAAAATACAAAAATTAGCCGGGCATGATGGCAGATGCCTATAATCCCAGCTACTCAGGAGGCCGAGACAGGATAATCACTCAGGAGTTTGAGAACAGCCTGGACAACACCTGGAAGGTAGAGGCTGCAGCGAGCCGAGATTGCACCACTGCACCTCAGCCTGGCGACAGAGCAAGACTCCGTTTCAAGGGGGGAAAAAAAAAACTATAAGCAGAAATCATAATACTAATACTTCTTAGAGATAAATAATTTTTAACCATTTTTAAGTCTTCACAGTTCAATATATTAATATAAGGTACCACTTCTCTTCTGCAATTCTTCAGGCCACATTTCTCACATTCTTCTCACTCTTTGATACATGGATTACTGGTGACTATTAGGTTGGTGTATGCAAAGTATCTTTGCTAATCTGCTAAAATGGGTTTTTAATTATATGCTAATTTGTGCCTTTAATTGTCCTAGTTGTCATACAAATTAATCAGTTTCTGGAGCACTTGTATTTGCTCTTCTGTGAAATTCCTCTCACATTTTACATGCACTTGAATCACCTGGGGATTTTGTTAAAATGCAGATTCTGAATAGGCATGAAGGTGGTAAGGGGCCAAAATTCTGCATTTGGCACCAGTTCCCATGCTATGCCAGTGCTACTGGCCTTCAGACTATACTTTGAATAGCAAGGCTTTCAGTAACAGTTTTGGGACCAGAAGCCAGGCAAAGCCTATTGAAGCCATTTCTTACTGTGATAAGTTAATGATACATGCCTAGTTTATTAGTAATGTATATTTTTCAATTAGTGATATATATGTTGAATTATGACTTGTAGTATGTGAGCTTTTTTTGGTAATTTTTGTGTCAGGCATGTTATCTACAGTGGTGGTATTTATAGAGAACAGTGTTGACAAACTCTGTAAAAATACTTAAAAAAAAAAAAGGTTTATTCTAAGACAAATATGAAGGACCATGGCCTGAGACAGTCTCAAGAGGTCCTGAGAACATGTGTCTATGGTGGTTACAGCTTGGTTTTATACATTTTAGGGAAACATCTTACGTCTCAATCAATACATGTGAGGAATGCATTGGTTTGGTCTAAAAAGATAGGACAACTCAAAGAGGGGGCTTACAGGCTATAGGTGGATTCAAAGATTTTCTGATTGGCAGTTGATTGAAAGAGTTAAGTTATCTGAAAACCTTGAATCAATAGAAAGGAGTGTTTGGTTTAGGTTAAGGGAGTCTAGAGACCAAGGTTCTTATTATGTAGATGAAGTCTCATAGGTGGCCACTCTTAGAGACAATAGATGACAAGTGTTTCTTATTCAAACCTTTAAAACATATAATCCTAGCATTTTGGGAGGCTGAGATGGGAGGATCACTTGACCTTGAGTTCAAGGCTAGCCTGGGCAACATAGTGAGACCTTGTCTCTATTTTTTTTTAATTAAAAATAAAAGGTGCTAAAGAGACTGGGCATGGTGACTCATACCTGTCATCCCAGCATTTTAGGAGGATCATTTGAGGCCAGGAATTGACCAGCCTGGGTAACATAGCAAGACTCTCCACAAAAAATCGTAAAAATTAGCCAACACAGTGGTGTATGTCTGTTGTCCCAGCTACTCAGGAAACTGAGATGGGACGATCCCTTGAAGTCAGGAGGTTGAGGCTACAGTGAGCCATGATCGCACCACTGTGCTCCAGCCTAGGTGACAGAGCAAGATACTGTATCCAAAGAAATAAAAATAAATAAATACATTAAAAAGGTGCTAGATTCTCAATCTCTTCAGGACTGGGAGGGTCTGGAAAAGGAAAGATCTAGTTATGTTGTAGAGATTCAACAGATGCAGATTTTACCCCCACAAAAGAGCTTTGCAGGGCCATTTCAAAATATGGCAAAGAAACATATTTTGGGGTAAGATATTTTTATTTCCTTCTTTATCAGTCATGTGATGTTATGCCAGAGTCAGGTTGGAAAGTAAGCCACACTATATAGGGTTGAATAAGACCTATCTGATGAGATTTTATAATTTAAAGGGCATGAGCCTGCAGGCCCTTTAGATAGGAATTTGGGCAAGAGAGGAAAACAAAGATCAGAGTTTAGTCCTCAGTGATAACATACCAATGATGATATAATAGTTAATATGTATTGACTGCTTACTGTGCCACAGACACCATGCTTTACAAAGGTTAACTAAATTTTCTCAATAAAACCATGAAGTAGATGTTATTATTGTTATCCTCATTTACAAATGAGGAGGCTGAGGCCAGTCAGAAGGTAGTGAGTTATCTCAATCGATTGTTCATGTCAGTTACAGATCAAACTCCTTGTTCTACTCTTTTCCCTTTTCTCACTACTATACTGGGCTAGTCTAATAATAACAACAATAATAATAATAATAAACAAGTTTAGTGACTTGCTCATGATACATAGCCAGAAGAGGACAGAGCCATGGCATCAACTCCAGAGCTTGTACGTGTAATTTCTTTACTAGTGTAACAGTTCAGAAACTATAGACTTTATATGACATGTATATGAATTCCCTAGGTTCTTACACAGTTCATGTAAGATAGAGTTGAATTTGCTAGCTTTTTTCCCCAAAAGGCCTTTGAAAAGCAATTTTCCTTTTCCTTAGGTTTTCCTTTCTATGACTTTGCCATAGATACTGATAATTTGTGATTCCTTAGCAGTTATTTTTAGTTCTCCATTCTTCCTGTGTGTTAATTTGTGCATTTGTGAAAAAATATCTCAACTTTCTTTTTTTTTTTTTTTTTTTTTTGAGACGGAGTCTTGCTCTGTTGCCCAGGCTGGAGTGCAGTGGCCGGATCTCAGCTCACTGCAAGCTCCGCCTCCCGGGTTTACGCCATTCTCCTGCCTCAGCCTCCCGAGTAGCTGGGACTACAGGCACCCGCCACCTCGCCCGGCTAGTTTTTGTGTTTTTTTAGTAGAGACGGGGTTTCACCGTGTTAGCCAGGATGGTCTCGATCTCCTGACCTCGTGATCCACCCGTCTCAGCCTCCCAAAGTGCTGGGATTACAGGCTTGAGCCACTGCGCCCGGCCAAAATATCTCAACTTTCTTATTCCTTTGCTGCAAAAATTTATGAAGAATGAAAAGTAGATAATATTCTGCCCTGACTGAAAGATAAAAGTATTTTTATTAATGTTGAGAATTTGTTTTCTGCCAAAGAGTAACCCAGGAGAATAGACAGATTGTTGCGGAAGACTGATTGAATTTTTTTTTTTTTTTTTTGAGATGGAGTTTCGCTCTTGTTGCCTAGGCTGGAGTGTAATGGCACGATCTCAGCTCACCACCACCTCCGCTTCCCAGGTTGTGCAAGGATTCTTCTGCTTCATCCTCCGAAGTAGCTGGGATTACAAGCTTGTGCCACCATGTCTGGCTAATTTTTTCTATTTTTAGTAAAGACAGGGTTTCACCACGTGGACCAGGCTGGTCTCAGATTCCTGGCCTCAAGTGATTTGCCTGCCTCAGCCTCCCAAAGTGCTGGGATTAAAGGCATGAGCTGCCGCGCCTGGCTGATTTCTTTTAAAAAAATTTTTTTTAAATTTTTATTTCAATAGTTTTTAGGGTCAGACTGATTCTTATGTGTGTTCTTAAAATTTTGAAATTTTTTTTCCTTCAAAGGGCAATGGTAATCTATTGACTTATGTGAAGACATACCTTCCACTCTGAGTTCTCCTGCCAAACCACCAAATTATCTCAGAGAAGCCAGGAGTTCCTCTCCCCAGCTTCTCGGCCTATCAGATGTTAGCACTTGAAATACGCAGTTCTTGAGCCCTCCGTCAGCATGTTAAGGAGAAACGAACACAGGGGAAGAGTTCATATTGCTAAGGTGTACAGGCATTTGTACAAATTTGTGAAAATGAGTGGAAGTTGTTTAGGGTTAGAAAAGTTTGGCACTGCAGTTGCAGTTTAATTTGGAAATCAATAAACCTAGAATAGGTCACAATAAATAACATAGCTAGCTTAGGACATCTCAAAGTAATATAAGGCTGTTTACTTTCATTATCTCTTTCTTTTACAGTCTATCAATATTATGGAACTGACTTTACAAAAATACGGAAGTTATGAAAAATTCGAACAAGCCACTGGTGGTAGCTTGCTCTCTAAAACTCGAATCTGGAGTCACGTTAGGAAGTACATGATGAAGGAAGGCTGCCTAGGGGAGGTATGAATCGCGAGTAAACATGAGGAGTTACTGTCAGTGACAGTCATAGTTTATTTTATTTTATTATTTTATTTTTTGAGATGGAGTGTCTCTCTGTCGCCCAGACTGGAGTGTAGTGGTGAATCTTGGCTCACCGCAACTTCCGCCTCCCGGGTGCAAGTGATTCTCCTGCCTCAGCCTCCCTCGTAGCTGGGATTACAGGCACCAGCCACCACACCCAGCTAATTTTTGTATTTTTAGTAGAGAGGGTTTTTGCCATGTTGGCCAGGCTGGTCTTGAACTCCTGACCTCAGGTCATCCGCCTGCCTCGGCCTCCCAGAGTGCTGGGATTACAGGTGTGAGCCACTGCGCCCAGCCTAGTCGTCATTCTTTTCTGTAGATTTTGTTTTCCCAACCCTATGTTACTCATTAAATTAGTCCCCCAGATTTCTTACTAAATACTGTAAGTCTTAAGTTCCTGTTGCATTGAATTGTTTTGATGTGTTCAGTGTCTTTTTGTTTTTCTTCTTACTGCCATTTCTGTATAACTTGTGGGATTAGATGAATTACTTTATGAAAATTGCTAATGAAGAGCTTTGCCCCAGAAGCCTCTCTTATTAGTCTTCTTAGTGGTCAGTCTCAAAGCCTTGGCACTGGCAATGAGCTGGATTCTGGCACCTGTATCTTCGTCTGCATCAGTTTAGCCAGGGAGCATATTTACGACATCTCAGAGGTACAATTTTAAGTCCTTCGTGTCTTCCTCAACACAGCCATTTACTTTCCCTTAAACTCAGTGAAGGTTCTTGAGTTCCCAAAGGGTCAAAATTAGAAGGGTCACAGGTGATTTGGCTGCACATTCCATCTTGGTTTCTGGGAGATTTAAGGTGGTTATAAACAAAAAACAGTGTTAATTTATAGGCCCATTGTTTTCTGCGAAAGCTTCTCCCCTTACCTTTATGTTATGTTTTATGTCTGTTTACTTTTTCTCTTGCCCATGTTTTATGTCTGTTTACTTTTTCTCTTGCCCCTTAGATTGTAGTTCATCTCACTGAGGACCTGCTTTCCCGAGCGTCAATGACAGTAGTAAATGGATGTCCAACTCTGACTATCAATGTGTGCACTGCACGTGAGCATTGGCTGGAGGGAATGCTGAGGCATGAAATAGGTAGAGGCAATCGTTTCCATTTGTTTATTTGTAATATCAAGAAATAGCTCTAAAGAAATGTTTTTTTAGAATGAGTTTTTTCTTAGTAGTGTTTATTTTATTTTCTTAGTAGAAGAAAATTTAGCAAAAAGTCATGAGCTTCACTTGGACTGAAGCTAATGTATTTATGTCTCATTTCAAATTAGATTTTTTAAGGGAAGTGTTTAGGTGTATTGAACCTGGAAAGTCATTTAACTGCTCTGGATTTCCCCTGCATTAAACTGAGGGGGTTGAATTAAGGTATCTTTGAGGTTCTTTTCAAATATCAAGTCTGTGATTCTTCCTTTAAAAAAGTAAATTGTTATAAAGGTGATACCTCCTCTCTTGAGATGTGATCCTTTTGAAGGCAGTGTACTCCTTCACACCCAAGAGATGTTAGGATCAGGTCATTTTCTACTTTGTTTTGATTTGTAGGCACACATTAATTTGGTTTTAGAGTTTGTTTGTTTGTTTGTTTTTTGAGATGGGATCTTGGTCTGTTGCCCAGTCTTGAGCACAGTGGCAGGATCTCAGCTCACTGCAACCTCTGCCTCCCAGGCTTAAGTGATCCCCTTCACCCCAGCCTCCTGAGTAGCTGGGACCCCAGGTGCACACCACCACACCCGGCTAATTTTTTTGGATTTCTGGTAGACATGTTTCACCATGTTGCCCATGCTGGTCTCAAACTCCTAAACTCAAGTGATCTGCCTGCCTTGGCCTTCCGAAGTGCTGGGATTACAGGCATGAGCCACCGTGCCCGGCTGGTTTTAGACTTGATGGAATCTGTCTTTGGGGGAAGAATTAAAACAAGAATGGCATTTCTTCTTCTTCATGTAACTTTTCTTCTCCATAGGTACACATTATTTTCGAGGTATTAACAACCTCCAGCAGCCATGGAACAGTTGGACTGGACGTAAAAAACATGAGCTGAAGCCAAATAATCCCACAGAGGAAGGACTAGCAAGCATTCACAGTGTTCTGTTTAGAAAAGACCCCTTTTTGTGGCGGGCTGCCCTCCTCTACTACACTGTTTATCGAGCCAGCCAAATGTCTTTTTGTGAACTCTTCAGAGATATTGGCAGGTTTGTCAAGGACCCCAATACAAGATGGGATTATTGTGTACGGGCCAAGAGGGGATGGACTGATACTTCCCAACCAGGTGGGTGTCCTTTAACTGCAGGTTTTCTGACTTACTGACTAGTTGTCTAGGGATTTTGTAATCCCTGAATCACAAAATGCACTTACTTAAAAAAATTAAACCTTGGTTACCTGAGGTCAGAACTAGTTTTCCTAAACAGCATTTTCTTAGCATTATTTTTACCCAGCTCAATTTTGAAAAAATCTCAGACCTATAGAATATGGAAAGAATGGTAGAATGAACACCCATCTACCCTTCATCTGTATTTACCTATTGTTAACATTTTGCTATTTTTGCTTTCTCTGTCTTTGACTTTTTAAAAACAGCTATACTGAGATATAATTCACATGCCATACAATTTACCCATTTAAAATGTAAAGTTCAGTGATTTTTAGAATATTCAGAGTTGTGCAACCATTACCATTGTCTAATTCCAGAATGTTTTCATTACCCCAAAAGAAACCCATACCCATTAGCATTCATTCCCCATTTCCTCCCCTGTGTCTGGTTCTAAGCAAATGAATCATCTCTAGATTTACCTATTTTGAACATTTCATATAAATAGAATTATCTAATATGTGATTCTTTGTGGTGGGCATCTTTCAGTTAGGATGATGTTTTCAAAATTCATTCATGTTGTAGCATGTATCAGTATTTTGATCATTTTATTGCTGTGGGGCAGTCTGTGCCTTAGCAAAGCTTAATCGCTGTGCTGGGAGATCCGCTGCTGTCTTCAGAGCCGGCAGGCAGGAACGTTTAAGTCTGCTGAAGCTGCGCCCACTGCCGCCCCTTCCCCCAGGTGCTCTGTCCCAGGGAGATGGGAGTTTTATTTATAAGCCCCTTACTGGGGCTGCTGCCTTTCTTTCAGAGATGCCCTGCCCAGAGAGGCGGAATCTAGAGAGGCAGTCTCTACTTTTTTTTTTTGAGACAGAGTTTCACTCTTATCACCCAGGCTGGAGTGCAATGGTACGACCTCGGCTCACTGCAACCTCTGCCTTCTGGGTTCAGGTGATTCTCCAGCCTCAGCCTCCCAAGTAGGGTAGTACTGAAGGCATGCACCAATATGCCCGGCTAATTTTGTATTTTTAGTAGGGACAGGGTTTCGCCCTGTTGGCCAGGCTGGTCTTGAACTTCTGACTTCAGGTGATCCAGCCACCTTGGCGTCCCAAAGTGCTGGGACTATAGGCATGAGCCACCATGCCCGGCCTAAGAGTGTTTTTAAACTATTTATTTGGAGCTTGGTAAATACTTACTCAAAGTAGTGATGGTTATGTTGCTAGCACAGCCCATATTAACATTTCATACTAGTGTTGCATTCATATGACAGCGTAGTGCCTTAGAGCCAGGAGCAGGCAAGATAGGAAGCAGGAAAGAGAAGGACATCTCTCTCTGTCTTTCATGTGTGCATAGCCAATTCCAGGCAGGATTTCAGATGAGCAACTTGTCTGCCATTTCTTAAAATACTCTTCTCAATACTCTTAGAAGAAAATTCATTGATATACTGAACTAACCTGAAATTCAAAATGACTTTTAAACAAATGTTTCTTAAATTGTACTCTTTTTTTCAAGGGCATTTTTGAGTGTTCTTTTTAGATTCCTTTGCCTGGATTTTAGTACTCTGTACCCAGATGCACAGGGCTTCCATGTTGCCTTTGATACCCACCCTGTGGAGGCTCATCACTTTTAGACTAGTCCCTTTTTTCTTTTTTTCACATACTTTTGTGTTTTTCATGTTTTATTATGGAAAATTTCAAATGTATACAAAAGAATGATTAATATGCTGAACTCCAGTAATATATTACCTGATCATAGCTATTATCAACATTGTCTAACTGTGGTCGTCTATTCTTCCAAATTTGTTTCCTATAAGTATTTTAAAGCCAATTCCAACATCATGTTCTTTTACCCATAAATATTTCTGATTAGGACAATTTTTTAAATCATCCTCTTGCTATTAGCATACCTAACCAAATTAACAATAATCTCTTAATATATGACTCCATGTGGTAGAATTTTAATTAATTTAATAGAGCAAAAAAATTTTTATTAATTGCACAAATTGTGTCAGGATGGGAAAAAGGTTTACTGTGTAAACAGAATATCCTTTTCTAACTAGGTTCAGAGCTCATGAAATGTTCTACTTTTCATGTCTTTATCCATTTTTTTTCTATTTTTTAAACCTACATGCTCTCCAAAATCTAGTTCTAGTTCTTGTTTACATAGAGAGGAACCAATGTCAAAATTTATGCTTTAAAACCATAGTTTGCTTTTGTTTAATGGAGAGGAAGGATTATTAATATTCTAAATACCAGGAATTTCTAAAATCCTGCATCTCTCCACTACCTTTATTGAGATGTACCTGCTCTAAAACTATCCGGCTCAGGTCTCCCCACTCAGATGCCTTCAGTGCACAATGGTAGTTATGACTGAATGGTGGGAGTAGGGGAAGGTGGGATAATCATATTTATAAGAGTCATATATTTGAAATTACCAGTCTCTATTTATAATGAGGAAAGAATTGTTATTTTAATAATGGGGAGGATGTGTGAGGAGAAGGAATTCTTAAGGTTCTAGTCTGTATACCATCTTGGCACTTCTCAAGACCTGACATTTTATGTAATGAAGAAAGTTAAATAAAAATAAAAATAAATGTTGACAAACATTTTTAATGCAGGACTGATTCTTACGGTAAATGGAACGGGTTGATATCTAATTACTTAGTAATTTTTCTAAACATCAGAAAGTAAACACTATTCTGGTTCCTCCAGGGTGTTTTAGTAAAGACCAGGTATACTTGGATGGAATTCTTCAAATCCTTCGATACAGAGATACCATAGACTTCCATCTGCTTACTGCCCTCGGGAAGGTGAGTAGAAGCCATGGCGCATATCCCTGAACACACCAGATCAGCATTCCCCTCACTCGAGCTTAGCATTAAATAAGACTTAGCTTCACACTATTTTTACTTTATTGTCAGAACAAATTTTCTTTATGTCATATCAAGAGGGAAGAAATCTGGTTCTGTAATAGAACCAAATTATAAAATTTCTTTTTGGTCAATAAGAGATAAAGGAATAGGAAATTTGGGAATATATATTGTTTTATTTTTATTTTTATTTTTATTTGTGTGTACATATTTTTCTAAAAAGCATTTTCTGAAAACTATAAAAGCATTTTGAAGTAAGCTGCACTTATAACATTTCCCCCTGTAATGTCTCCTAAGAACAGAATATTTTCTGACATTACTATATGATTTTGTTTAAGAAATTTATTACTGATTAAATATAACATCTAAAATATAGTCCACTTCAAATTTTCCAAAGTGCCTCCAAAATGTCCTTTGTGGCTCCTTTTTTGTGATCTAAGATCCAGTCGAGATTTATACATTGCATTTGGTTATAATCTTTTCTCTCTTTTAATCTCCGCTTGCCTTATTCTTTCTCTTTTTTTCATGACATTGTTAAGACTTGGGCTGGGCAGGGTGGCTTACGCCCACAATCCCAACACTTTGGAAGGCTGAGGTGGGAGGCTGAGGCAGGAGGATCACTTGAGGCCAGGAGTTTGAGAGCAGCCTGGGCAATATGGGGAAACCCTGTCTTTATAAAAAAATTTTAAAAAGTAGCCGGGCATGGTGGCATGCACTTAGTCCCAGCTACTCAGGAAGCTGAGGTGGGAGGATTACTTGAGCCCAGGAGGTCGAGGCTGCAGTGAGCCATGATTGTACCACTGCGCTCCAGCTTGGGAGAGAGAGCCAGACCCTGTCTCAAAAAAAAAAAAGAAAAAAGAAAAAAGAAAAAAAGATTGCCACAGTTTTCTTGAGAATTCCTACAATATGGATTATCAGATTATTTCCTTCTGATGAGATTCAGGTTAAACATTTTTGCCAAGAATACTACATAAGTGATGTGTATTTCCCATTGTATCACATTAGAAAGTATGTGTCATTTTGCTCCATTTGATTATCTGGGTGTTTGATCACCTGGGTTAAGTTAATGACCACCAGATCTCCCCATTGTAAAAGTACCTTTCCCCCATTGTATTAGTAAATAGTCTTTGGGGTGATATTTATGAATGGACTATTCCCTAATAACCCTTGATGATCTTTTCCCAAATCCATTATTACACTGGTGGTAACAAAATAGAGATCTTCTAATTCTTTTATATTTCTTTGTCACTCCCCGTTTTTGTAGTATTATTGTGGACTTCATTGGACTTAATTTTTTTTATTCAACTTTTTCATGGTTGCACCTGTGTCTTAAACATGTCTCCATGTTTTCTGACACAGTAAAATGTCTGGGCACAGTTTGTACTTTTCCTACCCAAATCTCTAATGAAGATCAGCCATTTCTCTAATGAAGTCTTATTTCCTTTTAATTGAAACAAAAATAGAAAAATTAGAAAAATTAGCTGTGTAATTGTGCAATTTTTCTAATTTAATAATATGTCATTTATATTCTAGTTATTTTCTTGATTCTTTTATTTCAATTTAGCCAGAAGACTTGTTTGGTTTTAGAGTCTCTCTCACACACAAATATGTTAAGTATAGTTGTCTAATTTTTAGACAAACAGTAGGTTCAAGGTACAGTATTAAATCAAATTTGACTTTTTAAAATAATCTTTTAGGCCGGGCATGGTGGCTCACACTTGTAATCCCAGCACTTTGGGAGGCCAAGGTGGGTAGATCACCTGAGGTCAGGAGTTTGAGACCAGCCTGGCTAATGAAACGTCATCTCTACTAAAAATACAAAAAATTAGCCAGGTGTGATGGCGGGTGCCTGTAATCCCAGCTACTCAGGAGGCTGAGACAGGAGAATTGCCTGAACCCGGGAGGCGGAGGTTGCAAGGAGCCAAGATCATGCCACTGTACTCCAGCCTGGGCAACAAGAATGAAACTTCATCTCAGGAAAAAAATAATAATAATACTCTTTTAATATGGTCATGGTATAAGGGGCAGAGAAATACATTGTTATTTAACACAGTGAAGAAAATGTAAGTCACTGATTTTTGTTATTTTGCAGCTATTAAAATAATTTGATACATGATCTGTATACTTTCATTGAAGGCCCAGGGAAGAAATTCATCCTTAAAATGTACATTGTAGTTACATTTTTAAATTAACTCATCTTCCTTTCTTCAGGTTTCTTATGAAGATGTGGATCGCTTAAAAGGATTGGCAGTTACCGAAAACATGAGGGTCCCTCACTTCCTGCAGGACCATGGCCGATATATGGAACACTTAGAGAAGATCATGGAAGTGAATGAACTGACTGACAGGGAACTGAAAGATCTTATATAGTAATTAGCGTTCTGGCAAACATAGCTAAGCTATGCCTCCATGTATATTACCAGTTAGGTGCAGTTAGCACCAGAAGATTTATAAAAGAAGAATGACTACTTGTGTTTTCTAAAGAAGGGTCTTCAGTATTCAGCGGAATTTTTAGGTTAAGTACAAATCTTAAACTATTTCCCTAAAATGTTTCTATAGGCTGCAGGGGGAAGTTACTCCTATTTTCTGAATCTCGACAGGGTCAGATGAAAATACTACTGCTGAGCATTTTTGAAGACTCTTGGTCAAATTGCATGATAAATTTCTGCCTGAGCAGTAAGCACCGGCCTAGTGCTTCTGCCTAAATATGGAGGTCAGCTCCAACTGGAGACTGGCTGAATTCCATTGCTGTTCAGAATCCAAAGTTATATTTTATTTGATAAATAATGGTAATTATTCTCCTTTGAAAAATTAGTTTTGTGTTACTCCAAAAAGCTAGCTATATCTAAGCTTCCTTATTTTTTTTATATGTTAAGGAAATTTAAAGGGAGAGGAAAAGCAATTTGAAAATTTTTCATTAAGTGTTTTATTTTAACATTATTATTTCACCTTATCAGCTTATAGGAACTAAATTAGAGAATCACCTCTTTTTGTCCACTTATCTCTTAACTACATTTTCATTTGCTGAAACATATTGTACCCTTTTAAATTTTTTACAGAGTTTTAACGTCTTTTCCACTGCGTCCTTTATAAAAATGATAAGTACAAATTCCAGAGAGGTTTTCCTACACAAATAAAAATAACTGGGGAAGGGCTACTCACCTTTTTTATTAAACAGAACGTGTAACAAGCAGAGGACAAATAGACTGACCTGGTTAAATGTAGGCTCTGGATGTTGACTGGGTAGCACCTATAGTAAACTTGACCATGCTCTGAAAAATGAAATTTCTGGGTATTGATGGTTTATAAAGCCAGCTTTGTGCTATTCATTCAGTATATTTTATCAAATCTTTGACTTCATCAACCCAGTAATGACATAGTTTAAATTTAAAAATGAGAGTTCTGTTTTGCTATATTTTTCCTGCTAACCTACCTTTGTATTTTATCAGCTTCAGTATATACTTGGATATATATACCTGGATTCAAATGGTTCTTCATACAACTTAATGATCAGAAAGAATGCTGCTGTAAACACCCCACTCAAGATTGCTGCTGTAATTTCTACCCAAAGCTGTCTGAGAGTTTATCTTTACCTCAGTGCAGGTTAAAATAATGGTGCTAATACTGGTAGATATATACTGTGAAGCCTGGTTCACATTCATGCTAGAAAATGATTTTGGGAAATCTTTTGCAGGAGAGGTTATGTGATTTTTCTCTTCCACATATCTAGAAGGACTTGCCTCAAAGAAGAATGTTGCAGCAAACAGGATATACTCTAGCCGGTGCCCAAAGGTTCTTGCAAAACTATGAATCTTGCTTTTAGCACTAGAGGGCCAGACACTCTGGAGCATTGACAGGCCTTAGCCCCTGCTCCCCAACTACGTGCCATGCTGGGTAGTGTGTGTCCTGTATATCTGTGTGCCAGGCTGGGGCAGACTGTGCCAATGCTCACCAAACACTAGAATCTGCTCTTACACCTCTAGCATGTATCTCCTTGTAGCAGAATCATGCACTTTCTCAGCATTGTGTAGTGTTTTCTAATTTCATCTTAAAACTTATCAAAAGTGATTGTGAAAACAGTGTCTAGAATTATAAACAGAAATGGCAATATTTATGTCCTGTGATTCAAGCCCAAAGGTTATAAATTCAGCTTTCACAGGGAATAGCACTGCTAATCTTACTTTATGGTTTAAATATAAAGGAAAATCACAGCAGCCTTAATTTCCTATTGGTAGGATCATTGTAGTGGTTCTAGTTCCTGAGTTTTAAAATGGATGAATATTTTCTCTTTGTCTGATTTGGAAAAGGAACTGCTTTTTTGCCTTACTGCTTTGGTATAAAGATGAAAAACATGAGCACTCTGCAGACAAAATGACCTTAAATCACATTGATAAAGATATTTTAAAAGTTAGCAGTGAACCAAAAGTAGTTACAGATTAGCAGAAATAAAGAGCTTTAAGCTTTAAAAGTTGAGATTAAATATTTAATGAAAGTTTATTAATTCTTTTTCCAAAAATAGCAGTAAGGTCAGTTTTTTCCCTAAAATAAAAAGTTTTAATAAACTGAAAATTATAGCATCAGTACTTAGGAGAATAGTTGAAGATTGTATTAATTTTAATTACAATAGTTATTTGTCATAGGCTATTGATGATTAGAATTTCATTAGTTTTGTCCACTGTAATTTTAAAAATAGTTGTATCAGATACAAATACTGATAAACTGTTAGGTTTTAACACCAGACAGGATTCAAAGGAAATTAATGTTTGCAAACATAAATCCATAGTCTTCATTTCTTTATATTTTCACCTTTGTAAAAGTGTTTAAAGTTTGTATTGTTTGTTTTGTATATCTTTGGGCATTTTTTGTCTAGCTATAATAAAAAGAAATAGTGCCAAGGTTCTCAGATGAAGTGTGTGACAATATATGCATGTAACTTGTTTTCTTTGAAAACCCAATTATATTTGTATTGTGGTGTTTCTTGCTTTTTGTGATAATTGTCAAAAGGACATTAATCATGCTTGTCTTCTAGTGCTGTTACTTCCTAGAAAAATATTATATTTACCACACTTCACCTTTTCCCTAGTTATTTTAGCTTATACTCTCATGGGACATATGGAGAAAAGAAAAGGAGAGAGGTTGTATTAGTCTATTCTCATGCTGCTAATAAAGACATACTTGAAACTGGGTAATTTATAAAGGAAAGAGGCTTAATGGACTCACAGTTCCACATGGCAGGAGAGGCCTCACAATCATGGTGGAAGATGAAGGAAGAGCAAAGTGATGTCTTACATGGCGGCAGGCAATAGAGTATGTGCAGGGGAACTACCTTTTATAAAACGATCAGATCTCATGAGACTTATTCTCTGTCATGAGAACAGCACAGGAAAGACTTGCCCCCATAATGTATTTACCTCCCACCAGTTCCCTCCCGTGACACGTGGGAATCTTGGGAGCTACAATTCAAGATGAGATTTTGGGTGGGGACACAGCCAAACCATATCAGAGGGACAATTTTTTTTATTTTTTTGAGACGGAGTTTCGCTCTTGTTGCTCAAGCTGGAGTGCAATGGTACAATCTCAGCTCACTGCAACCTCCACCTCCTGGGTTCAAGTGATTCTGCTGCCTCAGCCTCCCGGGTAGCTAGGATTACAGGCATCCACCACCACGCCTGGCTAATTTTTTGTATTTTTAGTTTCACCATGTTGGCCAGGCTGCTCTCAAACTCCTGACTTCAGGTGATCCGCCTTCCCTGACCTCCCAAAGTGCTAGGATTACAGGCATGGGCCACCGTGCCCAGCCTCAGAGGGACAATTTTGTCTTAAGGTACTATCCTGTTCATTTAGTAAACTTTTATGCAGAACGTGTCAAGCAGGATCTGTGCTGATTACCAGAGATCCTCTGATGAAGAAAAGAGAAGAGGCACAGAAGAAGGTTATGGCACAGCTACATTCCCGTGACCAAAAAGTGCTACAGAAAAAATGTACACTGTAGTCAGTGGGCCTGCCTGTGTGTTTGAAGCAGAGAGGAAGATCATTTGCTAAATGGTGATTGTTCACAAGATTTTATTATTGCTTTTTGCACAGGATTTTATTACTGCTTTTTGCAAGGCTTATGTTTGGAATAAAAGCACCTTCCCAGGGGAAGTAGTAGACCAGGAATGCAGTTGCTTGGGTCATCATAGGCCTGAGGGAGATCCCCTGAGACCTCCTGCAGATGCCCATGAGAGCCAACACTGTATCTTTAAGAAGATGAGCATGAAGCTGGGGTGAAGAGGAGTGTGGTGCCCTCACCCATCGGGGCAAGTAACCAGGTATAATAGTTTTCATGCTGCTGATAAAGACATACCTGAGACTGGGCAATTTCCAAAAGAAAGAAGTTTATTGCACTTACAGTTCCACGTGGCTGGGGAGGCCTCACAATCGTGAAAGGTGAAGGTGAAAAGCACGTCTCACATGGCAGCAGATGAGAGTTTGTGCAAGGAAACTCCCCCTTATAAAACTGTCAGATCTCGTGAGACTTATTCACTACCACGAGAACAGCATGAGAAAGACCTGCCCCCATGATTCAATTACCTCCCACCAAGTCCCTCCCACAACAGATGACAATTCAAGGTGAGATTTGGGTGGAGACCCATCCAAACCACATCATTCTGCCCTGGCCTCTCCCAAATCGCATGTCCTCACATTTGAAAACCAATCCTGCCTTCCCAATAGTCCCCCAAAGTCTTATTTCAGCATTAACTCAAAAGTCCACAGTCCAAAGTCTCATCCAAGACAAGGCAAGTCCCTTCCGCCTATGAGCCTGTAAAATCAAAATCAAGTTAGTTACTTCCTAGATGCAATGGAGATACAGGCATTGGGTAAATACAGCCATTCTAAATGGCAGAAATTGGCCAAAACAAAGGGTTGACAGGCCCCATGCAAGTCTGAAATCTAGTGGGCAGTCAAATCTTAAATCTCCAAAATTATCTCCTTTGACTCCATATCTCACACCCAGGTCACACTGATGCACAAGATGGGCTCCCAAGGCCCTGGGTAGCTTCGCCCCTGTGACTTTGCAGCCCTCCACCTGGCTGCTTTCGCTAACTGGCATTGAATGTCTGCCACTTCTCTAGGTGTACAGTGCAAGCTATCAGTGGATCTACGAGTCTGGAGGATGGTAGCCCTCTTCTCACAGCTCCACTAGGTGGTGACCCACTAGGGACTCTGTTGAGGCTCCCACCCCACATTTCCCTTCTGCACTGCTGAAGCAGAGGTTCTCCATGAGGGCCCCGCCACTGCAGCATACTTCTGCCTGGGCATCCAGGCATTTTCATACATCCTCTGAAATCTAGACAGAGGTTCCCTAACCTCAATTCTTGACTTCTGTGCACCCTCAGGCTCCACACCACATAGAAGCTGCCAAGGCTTGGGGCTTCCACCATCTGAAGCAATAGGTCAAGCTGTGCCTTGGCCCCTTTTAGTCATCACTGGAGCAGCTGAGATGCAGGGCATCAAGTCTCTAGACTGCATACAGCACAGGGACCCTGGGCCCAGCCCATGAAACCATTTTTTCCTCCTAAACCTGAGGGCCTGTTATGGGAGGGGGTGCCACAAAGGTCTCTGACATGCCCTGGAGACATTTTCCCTATTGTCTTGGTGATTAACATGCAGCTCCTCGTTACTTATGCAAATTTCTGCAGCCAACCTGAATTTCTCCTCAGAAAATGGGATTTTCTTTTCTATTGCATTGTCAGGCTGCAAACTTCCCAAACTTTTATGCTGTGTTTCCCTTTTAAAACTGAATGCTGTCTGGGTGTGATGGCTCACACCTGTAATTCCAGCACTTTGGGAGACTGAGGCAGGTGGATCACCTGAAGTCAGGAGCTTGACACTAGCCTGGCCAACATGGTGAAACCCTGTCTCTACTAAAAATACAAAAAATTAGCTGGGCATGGTGGCACATACCTTTAATCCCAGCTGCTTCAGAGGCTGAAGCAGGAGAATCGCTTGAACCTGGGAGGCAGAGGTTTCAGTGAACTAAGATCGTGCCACTGCACGCCAGCCTGGGTGACAGAGTGAGACTGTGTCTTAAAAAAAAAAAAAAACAAAGAAACCTAAGTCACTTCTCCAACGATTTTCTGCTTAGAAATTTCTTCCACCAAATACCCTAAATAATCTCTCTCAAGTTCAAAGCTCCACAAATCTCTACGGTAGGGGCAAAATCCTGTCAGTCTCTGCTAAAACATAACAAAAGTCACCTTTGCTCCAGTTCCCAACAAATTCCTCATTTCCATCTGAGACCACCTCAGCCTGGATTTCATTGTCCATATCATTATCAGCATTTTGGTCAAAGCCATTCCACAAGTTTCTGGGGAGTTCCAAATTTTCCCACATTTTCCTGTCTTCTTCTGAGCCCTCCAAACTGTTCCAACCGCTGCCTGTTACCCAGTTCCAAAGTCGCTTTCACATGTTTGGGTATTTTTCAGCAGCATCCCACTGCTGGTACCAATTTACTATATTAGTCAGTTTTCACATTGCTGATTTACAGAAGAAAGAGGTTTATTGGACTTACGGTTTTATGTGGCTGGGGAGGCCTCACAGTCATGGCAGAAGGTGAAAGGCACATCTCACATGGCAGCAGACAAGAGAATAGAGCTTGTGCAAGGCAACTCCCCCTTATGAAACCATCATATCTCATAAGACACATTCACCGTCACGAGAACAGCATGGGAAAGACCTGCCCTCATGATTCAATTACCTCCCACTGATTCCCTCTGGCAACATGTGGGAATTAAAGATGAGATTTGGGTGGGGATACAGCCAAACCATATGACCAGGCTTTGAATCCAAACCTTTGTCTGCACTTTTGAAAGCCTTGTCTGCTGATACGGTTTTTATCCATTTTTGTTCACTGTAATTTTCATAGCTAAAGGAGTTAATGTCTTGAAACTCATGGCAGGATGTAAAATACCTATGCTTGTCAGTGAGTTGTGGGAGTACTTTATGAATAGGTGGAATTTCAGTGGACAATCATTTCAAGAGAGTGTGGAGTTCTCAAGATTTTTTTCCCCAACATGGGGGTGAAATAAACCTGAAAAAATCCTGTCACCATATAGATTCAAATTCTTAATATGTAATGACCAAAGGTGTAAATATCCACATTTAGATAAACCAGACATTTTGTTCTCTTGCCATTTAAAAATACCTCTATTATATTAGGAGTACTTTGCTACTTAATTACTGTTATATCTTCATTAAAATATGGTCCTACACATCAACTGACCCTCCTGAATGGAAGAAGACATTAATTCTTTTTGTCACTCATTTGTGTTGGAGATCTAATTTGCTCTTTGGTGAGATAGTTGGAGTGTTCTAGTCAGCAATTAGACATTAACAAGCAGAGGTGGTTCATGCCTGTAATCTTAGCACTTTGGGAGGCCGAGGCAGGTGAATGGATCACTTGAGGTCAGGAGTTCAAGACCAGCCTGGCCAATATGGTGAAACCCATCTCTACTAAAAATACCAAAATTAGCTGGGGTGGTGGCATGCACCTATAATCCCAGCTACTCGGAAGGTTGAGTCAGGAGAATCACTTGAACCCAAGAGGCTGAGGTTGCAGTAAGCTGAAAGATTGCCCACCACTGCACTCCAGCCTGGGTGACAGAGTGAGTCTCGGTCTCAAAATCAATCAATCAATCAATCAATCAATAATAGCAAGTAAAGAACATCCTCCAGTTTTTGAGCACCAAGGGCACCAAGAATCTCTGCATGCTTCTCCACAATTCCCCACTAGAGAGAGCACTGGCTCTTTTCTTTTTCCCTTCTCCTCCCGCTCTCCTCCCTTCCAGTAGTTTATCTTTGACTGGAGGCCCCCTAAAATGCTGAATCTTGCAAGTTGACACTTGCAGCTAAATCCTAACCTAAACTCTCATTTCAAGCAAGTATAAGTGTTGTAGGAAAGATGTGTATATTTTAAAGAACCCAAGAGAAGGAGTTACTGAAGTC